GCAATTTTGCTGGGTGGTTTTACATATCAACTGCATAATTAAACAAAATGATAACAACTATCTCAACTCTTCTCGATTTTCATGACATTTTTGAATTCCATTTCATTATTTGTTACTTTCTAAAAGGTTTGGACTGAAAGGGCATCCAGCATATAAGGTTTCCACTAAGTTGGTTTGCACTATAAATGTAATGTCATTGATCCCCACGTACCCCGGTAGTTGGTTTTAAGGTGCTGAGGGTGATGATGAAACTCTTATTCTTTTAGTCTCCATGATGGTGATTTATTTTACGAGTTAAGAGTCGATTTTCATTAAAAAGATAACTATTTCAGGGGTGGAGGTGGCGGGGGGAGAAAGTGGCATCAAGAAGGCAGATGCTCAAAAAAGTTGAATTCCATACATGATTATTTAGCATGTGCTAAATATCTGATAGATGCAAAAGTTGTTGAAGAAACTAAGTTAGCTGGTTGGGGATACAGCGCGGGAGGTCTGTTGGTGGCATCGGCTATTAATTCTTTCCCATCCCTATTTCGTGCTGCAGTTTTGAAGGTGTGCCTATTAAACCCGTTATTATTGTTTATATAGTAATGTTATTTGTGCATGAATTTAGGTAATCCTTTTATCCCTCTCTTTGAATGTGTGCTTTTGCTTCTTCAATAGGTTCCGTTTCTGGATCCATGTAACACACTTGTCTCCCCGATTTTGCCCCTCACACCTGCTGATTATGAGGAGTTTGGGTACCCTGGGGACATTGAAGACTTTCAGGGTATACGGAAATATTCACCTTATGATAACATACAAAAAGATGCACTCTACCCCGCGCTCTTGGTGACATCTTCTTTTAATACCAGGTAAATTTTCATATTCAGACCCTTTAGTCACTTTGGAGTTCTCCGATCTTTAAAAAAAATTAAAACAGTGTTAATTGGCCTAATGGCTCTTTCACATATTAGCATAAATCAACACCAATTTTCACATTTTCAGGTTTGGAGTATGGGAAGCAGCCAAGTGGGTTGCTCGGTTGCGTGAATACTCCCTTTATGATCCTAAACGCCCAGTACTTCTGAATTTGACAGCTGAGATTGTTGAGGAAAATAGATATCTGCATTGCAAGGAGTTGGCATTAGAGATGGCATTTCTCATCAAGATGATGGAGTGAATTATAATTAGCTTCCACTGCCAGTTCCTTGGATTTCTCCTGACGTTGTTACTGATTCTCTTCTCAAGTCCATTAATGACTTGGGATAGATTACTTATCACGTCATAGCAGATGAAACAGCTCAATCTAAATGCAAAATTCAAAGACCCATGCTCAATCATCTCCCTCTTTAATAGATCTTCTTCTGCAAAAAGCTGGAAGATCATCTTCGACCCTTTTCTCTACTTTTCTAGGGAAGTTGCTTTTTTTATGTTCCAATTTTCCGTTTAAAAATGTAAAGGAAAATTAGACGTGCCTTATTTTTTCATTTTTGTAACAAAAGTGCGTAAGAACATCTGAACATCTTGTAGTGTAATATGGGTCTAGTTCTTGTTCCTACAATCCTACGGCGTCATCCATCGAAAGAAGTTCATTGCGCCTGAGTTGTGACTTTGTGCAAGTGCAACTGGACCACTTGCCACTGTCAGATGCTCAAATCCAAGGTCAAACGGTAATTATAACAACATAAATCCATCCCTAATCTAAACTGACATAATTTCATCCCATTTTTCTCATATGATGATGAAATGATGAATACTTAAACGGTTAAACCACATCATGAATCAATAATGTTAATGGTGACAAGTCCGGTACCTTTTAAAAAAACAGGGTGCCTTACCTACCATTCATTTGATTGGACCACATCACTTTATCATTTTTAATTTAGATTTAAATAATTTAACTACTACATTCTCATTGGTCCATGTGGATAAATGTATGATACCTTATGGGTACCATAGAATCTACCAATGTTAATATTGTGTATATTTAATGGGAATCTGAATTGCTTAAAAATGCATTGCCACATAGATAAAATAGGCATTGATATAAAAAAGAAGTCTCTCCAATGGAACTGTCCATTATAATCGTGGTGCTGAGTTGGACTTGAAAAGAATGCACACCGTTCATACCCTCTCTCTTTTTAGGTCTGTTAGACGGTGTGACTCAGCAAATAAATTTTTCACCGAAGTTTTTAAGAACGATCGAATAACTTTGCACTCAATCTTAAAATTGAACGGCTGAAAAAGTCTAAGAAACAAAATACTCTTTCACATCTTGAGAAGCATCTCCGATTCCTTGAAGCTTTCAAGATATTTTTTAATTTTAATTGAATCACTAGTCCGATTCTTCAAATTAACCTAGAAGCTTTCAAGGTATTTTCTAATTTTAATTGAATCTACGACATGCCTATTAGTTTATCACTCTTATATATAATCAAAACAAATCACCCACTTAGTCTAACTTGCGGATGAACCAGCGGCTGTTTTGTGGTAGGAAAATAATTACGATCTATTTACAGATTAATGAGATTATAAAGTGAGAAAAGAAAGATAGAAGAAATATTAAACCCGTAGCAGTAACATGCCGATGTTTTTTTATTACTAGTATATGTTAACTGCATTGGATCGTGATTGCATTATTGTGTTGGAGTGAAGATTTTGTTTTAACTGTATGTGCGTCCACATCACTTCTGTAGCCGTCTATAGAAGTGATGTGTCCATATTTCGAGGGATGCAATCCACATCTCCATTAGAGATGCTCTTAAATATTACCATCCGAATATTAGTTGTGACAAGTGACAACTTAACTCTAATTACATTTTGAGTTTTCAAGTCACTTTCATTTTGTTATGATGTAAGTTTTCAATTTTATTTCTTTTTGAAACAAAAACAACTACGGAGTATTTATTAATAATAAAAATGATCAGTACAAAAGTTGATAGTCTAAGGTTACAATGTGATGAGACATAGAACTGAATAGTTTCAAAGGAACATAACAATTCGCTAACCCCACAAATATGTAGACTCCTCTATCAACATGGAAGCTCATTCTACTTAACCAATAATCAATACTAGAAAAAGTACTAATCCACAGAAAACAAACATATAAATCGGTTTCATCATCCAACAACAAGAAAATAATAGAAAACCTGGTTTGTTGAGCCACCAGAAAGAAACTAGAATCCTCAGTGTGACCAGCTATTGAGAAGAAATTGCAAATATCATCGGTTTGACCAGCCACCGAAAAGAAGATACAATCGAAAGTTATCTTTCTCTCGTAGCACGACGGTGGTTCATGAGGAGGGAGAATAATTGAGGTCTTGGAGTCGTCGATGTCTGATGTTAACCTCCCAAACAAATCAAGCAAGATAAACATTGCTATCCACCAACAATAAAATTTCAATGCCTGATCGGTTTCACCGACGAGGAATACACAAACCCTAGACATTGCTAGGAAGAAACCACATAAAATAACTTGAAAATACTTATGAAAGAGATAAATTTTCGTCTTTAGGAAGAGAAGATTGATTGAGAAGAAGAGAAGGGAGAGGGCTAGGGTTTACCTTCGCCGCCTCCCAAGACAGTTTTCAAAATATAATGTTTGTTTATAATAGTCAAATAAATAAGTAATGATTAAAGTTGTGCATTGACGAGTGTAAAACTCAAAGTGATGCCACTAATTAAGAATAGAGGAAGAATTACTTATTTTGTTCATCAAATGAAAGTGGATGTCTAACACTAACATTAAGAGCATCCCCAATGCCTCATAGTCTAGTCTATGTAAATAATGCCAAATGTCAAATAATGAAAATGGTTTCTAACCCACGTAGTAAATGTGGAGGGAGTGGATAGTGATGAACTAAATAAAGTCTCCAATGCATACGGACCATTAAGAACTGCCATGTGGAATCAATTGTATTAAAATAAAGGGAAATGTCTATTTATCAACGGTTTTCCTAGGAAGAAGCCCCCATTTTTGCTGAGTCACGAAGTCTTGTAGCCTTTCTACACCGAGACGTCCCCCTTCACAGTGTTTAGAATTTTTTTCGACACGTCACCTAACTGTGCTTAGAGACTACCTGCGTTGGAATCATAATTAAACATCCAATGTCTAAAATATTGGCGTGGCAGACTTTTGCTGCACTAGACAGGGCACCATTGAGAATGCTCTAAGAAATGTAGTGGTGTGGCGGCAGGCATTTGCAAAAAAAGTGTGACACACATGGTACGAGGGATACACATAAAAAAAAATTAATGAAAATTCTCTATTTCTTTCTCTCTTATACCTGGTTTTTATCACATTATCTGTTAATGTCTAAATCTAGACATTGTAAATAAAAGTGAATAAAAACTTGGGAAAACATGAAAAGAGAGATAAAATGTATATAAAAAGTAAGGGGTAAAAGTAGGAAAATTAGGGAAAATGAATACAAATAAGCGTGATAAATGTTTTCAACTGAAAACCAGCTTGATAATATATTTACGAAGCCTTAGTAAGGTTCAACACTCTCAAACATGAATTAGGAATTATGGACAACCATGATCCTATGTCTTTTTCAAAGTGGTAATCTGATTCGAAGGAAACAACCCACCGTGGATGCACGAGTTCAAGGGAATAAATGACCAAATCTTCAAATCATTGCATTTTGCAAAAGCTATTATAATTCTTGCAAAGTAGAATTAGTTGTTGAAGTTAGACTTGGGGTTTAAACCACTTTTTAGGTCAAAGACTCAAACATCCATTTTAAAAGACTCAACTTGAAGATAGAAGGATAAATGCAAACAAAAAAAAACACTAAAACATGAGTCTTGATTTATGAAAGAGTTTAAATTCGGGATTGGTGGAGTGGCTCCAAATCTGTCCTTTGTCGGAGGTTTTGGGTTCAAATCTTGTTAAGAGTTTGCAGCAAGATGCTAGCATAACTGATTTTTTCGACCTAAAATCACATTACATTTTAAATTTATCACATTTTCTCTTCTCGTATACTTTTATATATTCTACCCAAATGTATCATACATAATTGGAAAGGGAAAAGGATCTATTTTATTTATTTATTTATTTTGAATTAAATTACACGTATAGAACAATATATTCAATACATTTAAACGAACTCATCTTCAACAATATATACACAGGTCACAATATATACACATTTGTTTCCGCAACAATATCCTTCAGACAAATGAAGACGCCTTTTTAGGGGAACAAAGGTAATTGTATGAAGAATCTTGAACATCCATCCAATAGTATGGAGAATCCTCTAGCTTACGCAAGATTCCATCGATGCTGACTTGGATGATGAACTTGAGACTAGATACCCCATCTGGAATTTCCAGATCAGAAACATAAAATGCCTCAACCATTGCATCTCCAAGATAAATTTCTTTCTCATTGTCCGAGAGTTTGTTTATTTTCTTGACATATATTTTGTACTGCATTGATGGACCAACAATATTTCCATGTTCCAGCTGCTTCCACGTAAGCATCATGTTAAGTTTCCTTGTTTCTTTTGAGTCTGAAGACCATTGTACATATCTACTCTCAGTGACCCATGAATTTGCAGGAGCTATTGATGGAGATATTGATGAGTCCGTTGTAACCGAAATATGGCCCAGAACTGCACTGTATTCGGTTGATGAACCCGAAAATGATTTCTTTATATCATAACAAACAGCTCCAATTTCGGTTAATGTGTATCCTTCCATTGTTATGGAACTTTCTTGTACAGCCCATCCCGGTTCTAGTCCCGCCTTTTTAATGTGACGTGGCATGATGATGGAACCAAAATGTTTTGCCAACTGGTTGTGTGTAAGCAAGGAGTCGGTGCCCGATGCTAACAATATAGACGTTTTCTTCTCAGAGTTGGATGATAAGAGATCAAGGTAAAGTCCTAGTAGAGAACTCCCACTTGATCTTACCTGTATCCAGTTTAGAATGAGCAGCCAAGGCCTCATATGGTAAATATGTATTTGTTTTCACATTTTTAGGAAACAGAAACCATAAAATTTACTTAAATGTTACGTATTTAGTTCAGTTTATTGAAATAATAAACAGAACTGTGAACATTCTTTAAGCGTGGTTTGCTGTTTCATTTTTTAAGAAAGAAAGCTTTTCACTTTTCGTCCCACAAGGCAAGATTATTTGGTCATTCATGTTTTGCATTTATGGAGCCCGATTATGGTTTCGTGCTCCTTTTGCTCTTCTCTGGTCACTTATGTGGAGAAAATCAATTGGGAACTGGTCGAATAAGTGATTGAGCACTAAGGGGGTGTTTGGAACTGATTCTGTTTCTGCTTCTTTTTAAAGCAGAAGCAGAATCAGTTTTCGGAAGCTGTCTCTCCCCCAAATTCTAAAAAAACTGATTCTAGGAGTAAATTAGAGCACCATAATCACTTCTGTACTTTCACCCAAACACTCCGACTTCTGCTTCTACTCCTTGAAGGAACAGAAGCAGTTTAAGAATCAGATCCAAACACCCCTAAAACTGTGCAAAATCCATAATTTGCACCAAGTGGAGAAATTTAAAGTTGGTGATAAAAGCGGGAATGACAATACCAATGGTACCAAAAATGGGTAATTTCTTTTAATGCATGTTTCGATGGTTTATCTTGAAAAGATATTCAAAGCCCTACTTCCGAACTTGCTCTGAAGAAATATGTTCCCAATGTTTATACTATTCATAAAACAATCAGAATTTGCATAAAATTTTTATAGATGTATGTGTGTGGGCACACAAAAACAAACCTACCAAACATGTTTATATTTTTGAAATTTGAAAAGAAAAAGAAAACTTTCAAAACGCAAAAAGGCAAATGTCATCAAACGAACCTTTCCCATTACTAGATGCCAATGATTCATAACATTAACAAATTATAACGACTTACGGAATATGTGAAGTTGAGTGGTGACTCTCCCAAACGAAGCTTCCCCTCAAATAATTTTGTTTTGAAATGAGAACTGTCATCAAGAGTTCCCCGGAATGTGATGCTCCCTCCACCACTATAAGATCCTTCCTTGAAACTAACAAAAGTCAAACATAAAGTATGCTGAGTCTCATTAGAAACTTGGGAAACATACGGGAATTGATGCAAGAAAGGAAACAAAAATCAGAGATTAAACTTACTCAACAAAAGCTTGAATATTTTCAGCCGTATGTTCTCCAGAAGTAAGGAACGGCTGAGACAAAGTTGGTGATAATAGACGGAAAAATCCAGTAAGGTTACAAGAAAACAACAACAATGCTGTATATAGATTACCCCTGCTGATCCATCATATGAAGAAGAAACATTCCTACTTATTTTTTCAGATTAGTGCACAAAATATAGATCTCTTGCCACTACTGCTCATTACTAATCCCTTATGTGACAAAACTATACTGCAATTGGTTGAATAAGTGGTTTGAAGGACCGAAAGTGTCAAAAACATCCATTATTTTGACCTAAGCAAGATATAACCTAATACCATGGGCCAAAAAATGTAATTTATTTTACGACGCAAGCTAAGGTTACAAAAGAAAAAATGAAAACTTTGTACTACATCCAAAGCTACATCAACCGAGCTGTTTATGGTTTAATCATCACGAAACTCCTGAGTCGAAAATTATGTTTATATAATAATAATGATGAATTGATGATGAAAATGATAGTAATTGACTAATTGTTATCAGATATGGATCCAGTAATCGGAATCTGTGGACATTTCGATGCCATTTACAAGGGACAGCAGAAAGTTGCATAAACGAGTAAAGAAGTAAGGAAAAGGAAGTGCTATCAAAATTAAGAAGCATACTTGGAAGCTTTGGGAAGAAATGTTGTTCCAAGGAGCGTCCAGTACTTTCACTCCATCAACAAAAACATGGTAACCATGACCCTAGTAAAGAATAATCATAAGTCATATTACTCATATATTGTACTACGGTATTAAATATAAATACTCCATACTCTTAGTCTATACCTGATCAAAGTTTGAGTAGAATGGAAGAACTTGGGGGTAAGTCTGTGAGATTCCCCAGGATTTCTCAACAAGTCCCCACCAACTACATTTGAACATATGAAGTTAAATCATTAATTATTCTAGGAAAAGATAATGCATAAACGTGTGTTAAAGTAGCTAACACAATTGTGTCCAGAAATAGTAACTGACAGAAGAAGTAATCAAAGTTTCCAAAATGCTGAGTATTACCGAGTTTGAGCGGTCTGAAAATCAGGTGGCTGGTTAGTCTCATAAACCCATCCAGGAGCAAATATGGCTGCCGAAACATTGTGTTTCTTAATCACATCAAGGGCCACATTTGTCTGCACAGATGTTCAAAGTTCATTCAACTCAGAACTTAAAAAATATTATTATGGAGTATAAGTTCATACATGATTCTTAAGGGTATGTTTGGATCACACAAATGCTAAGGGAATGAAAAAAAATGTTTAGGGATGTTGTTTTCTTATGTTCGGCTTTACCTTGGACAATGCAAATGAAAGTTTGACTAAAATTTTCATTTATTAAGTTTTGTAAGTCATTTATCATTTATAATAAATATTAGTAAATGAAATGAGTGTCAAAGAATATCTGAAATAAATGCATTGATTTTTAGTATATCTATGGTTTTCCCATTTTTCTCTTTCATTTATATTCCCCCTATATTTTCCATCCTAAGAGACATTGTAACAGGAAAAAATGTACATAAACCCACCGTCCATTGTCCACCTCCATAAGTATTTCTTCCAAAAACATCAATTCCCATATACACATCAAACTTTCTCTCCCCAGCAACAGAAGCTGATTCCATAGGGTAAGTTTCCTAAAAGTGAAGAGGGGGTGGGGGGAAGAGTAGTAAGCAAGAAACCAATATAATTACAACTAAACAGGTGATTATAAATAAATCAGTGAAAGTATTACCTTCCATGTATAGTTCACAAATATTCCATCACATACATCAAAAAACGGCTTATTTTTTTCATTTAACTGATCTTGCCAAATGAGTTTACCATCGGTGGTAACACTATCATACCTGAAACATTACAGATTTACAGTAATGCATTAAGTAATAATTCATTATTTTTGCTATGGGTGTTGTTGAGAGAAAAGGAGGAACTCAAAGCAACAAAGCTAAATAACATCACTGAGACCCTGACATCGGCAAGAGAAGGTAGCCACTCTAAGAAGCCACTCTGAAATTATGGATCAATACTACTAATGAATAGAGCTCATTTATACTGGTCATATGAGTCTTAGAGGACCAGTATAAGGGTAATTATAATCCTAGTACATTACTGATGTCATGAATATTAGGCTATTAGCTAAAATAGAATGCAAATATGAAAACATGACTGCTCATAACAATAGTAATAATAATAGGATGTCTCCATCAACAATATTTCACCAGGTTCCTTTCACGCGGCTCTATCATGAAAAAGACGCCTATAATATGTTTTCCAAAATATTGTACTAGTAGTAGTAGTAATGATGATGATGATGAATTGATGATGATGATCATAACAACAACAACAACAACAAGAACAATACTAATAACAACAACAACAACAACAACAACAACAATAACAACAATGGAAGTAATCGCAAAATGTGTCATGTAATACCATATAACCAAAGATCCGGGGACTGATGAGTGCATGGCCTGGGTCAAATGGTTCACAAAGTCTATCAAGTTAGGGAGTTGTCCAACAGCGATCTCAACTTCCAAGTTAATCTAGCAAAAAAAGTTACTAGTTGAACTCATCCCGTCATTTCAAGTCGAAAAAAGATAAAAATTAACATATAAAGCATTGAGTTACTCTTCCTATTATGATGAAATCCAAATCTTAAATGCTATCAAAGTCAATCAAATGATTCAGTCACCCTAATACGGGCATGTTAATACATCCAAATTGAAAACATATATAAAAATACAAACCTACATATAAAACTGCATATCAAAGAAGCAATTTGCACAAACAGTGTGTTTAATTAGCTTCTTCTAGATTTCTCCCTCCTCACCTTCCTGTTATTATGAACACTGTATTCATTTTTTCAAAAACAAGCAAGTTCAAATGATTCTTTTAGTGTAGGTAATCTCTGGATACAAGTATACAACATAACTTGAATTAAAAAGTAGAATGAATTAACAACAAATAAATGGTAAGAGCATATTTCAATTTGCACCCAAAGCATACCAGCCAGCCATCAAAGCCTAGAGCAACAGCAAGCTCAGTTAGTCTCTCTGCATACATGAAAGCTGATTCCTTTGTTGAGAGCAGTTTTTCGGCAAGAATTTTCCCTTCTTCCCACTCCATTATAAATGTCCCTAGAACCTTATTTAAAATTGAGTGGAAAATAAAACAAAAAAAATCAGAGTAAGAAGCAAAGATAATAACTTGATAGCTGAATTGTTGTTAGACATTCTTGACCACCCTTCAGGTTTAGGCAACTTCATCTTAATATAAGAACTTTAAGTATCACTCTCATATAAAGTGTTAAGACTTAAAAGAACAACAACATGTTTAACTCCACACGAAAAGAGCTCTCATGTCCAACACTCTTCAATATATTGAAATGAAGAAGCTTCATTTATATACTTTGAGACACTTCAAAATCATATGAATGAATTAACTCCAATTCCTACACATTCAAGTCCGAACCATCAAGAAGCTAGGATGATATATTGATTCAATAATTCATATTTAGCTGATGTCAGATACTCCGTACTTAATAGCTCATTAATCAGTCGGGAAAACATAATCTTTATCTTATACCTTAACTCCATGCCTATGAGCTGTGTTTGTCCAGCAAGGAGGAGGAAGTGCAACCAAACTGTGGGAGAAATAAACAAACACATCCATCAAATACCAATGCCATATACCATATGCATTGGGATTTGTACCTCCCTGCACCCACTTATCATCCCCGTATCCTCCCGCCATGTCGTGGCAAACCAGAAGTCTCGGCCGTTGCGGAAGCAGGCCGGAGGAAACTGCAGGAAGCTTGACAGAGGCCTTGTTGAACGGGAAGTGGAAGGATTCGAAGTAGGATCTGGATTCGAGCTCTTCCAGAGTTTTCAGCGCGTATGATACCGGAACTGAGGGGATTAAGGGATCGAACGGCGGAGGAGTGGGAGGTTCGTCCGCGGAATTTGAACTCTGGCGAATCTCCGCCATTGGGTTGAATGCTGAGAGGAAACGGAGTAGAAAATCGAGAAGAGATTTGAGCTGAGCTAAGGTATGGCGGTAGCGGGATTTTATATGGGCTCGGAGAGAGAATGGCATCGTAGAGAGAAGACAGAACCGCCATTTCCGTTGGAGCCGAATCCGTTGATATAGACATGTTGACTTCACACTCAGGGTAAGGAATCAAGAGAGTATTTCAAATTAAACTTTTTTTCCCTTCTCAAATCAAGAAAGTAATTAATTAGTAATATTATCATAATTGCTCTCATACCAAGAATCTAATTATTTAGGATGTTTTTACTTGGACTGTAATTTGCCTCAGACCAGACCAGACCAGACCAGTCTAGATCAGACCAGACCAGACCAGACTTGGATAGTTATAAAAATACAAAGAAACCAGACCTTACCAGACCAGATCAGACCAGTTCAGACCAGACCAGACCAGACCAGACCAGACCAGACCAGCAAATTACAGTCCAAGTAAAAACATCCTTAAAACCCGTTTGGTAACACTAAAATTGACTGAATCAGCTGATTCTGCTGCAATTTATGAAGTTCTAACGGAAGTGGCTGTTTTGGTTGATTCTGCTGATTTTTGAAAAAAAAAATCTAAATATGTTTTTTTATTAAAATGAAGAAAAAATTATATAAAAAATAGCTAAAATAATCATCTACAGTAATTACAACCTTACTTTTTTTTATTGCTCGAAATCAAAAGTTACGTGTTTGGTGAAAAAGTTGACTGATATTGCTAACTAGTCATAAAAAATAAAGAATCAAAGAAAAATCGAAAACCGTTGCTTGATTCTGAAGAAGTATAAAAGCTCTCAATATAAGAACACAAACCTTTGGGACCAACTATAGTTTTTTATTATAATTGTAATCATTACTATTAGCATAGTACTATTATTGTTATTATGTTCATATTAAAATACTTAATGCAACAATACGCTCTTGAGATGCATTAAATGATTCATTTGTCGGAAAAAAAACATACACATTTTCAAATCCGCATAATTTTCAAACTGTGCTATGGCCTAATTGTCTTTTAAAGAGTCTTATTAAAAATTGGTCTAAATATTTTGTTTTTCATTAGAGCACATGCCTCGGTAGGTTATTGACTTATTGGGTTGATTATTCAGTTCTTTATTCTTCATTTTAACACATCATATGTTTTATAACGTCTCCAAATACAAAGAAACCTTTTTTTTTGCACCCTCCATATGTGTGTTAAACAAGAGGGTCAAATTTTGTCACAATGTATCCCACTAAAGTACGAGTAAAGAACTCTTAAATATCTTTCTCACTGTTCACCATGTGTAGCGAGTAAATCTCTGTCTTTAGATGTTTCATACAAAGCTAAGTAGCTAAGTACTATTGTGGTAATTCATGGAGTGGGATGGGTTATAGTGATCTCCTGTCAAATTCTGTTATGATTGCCTCATTTTTTCTTTTTTATTCGTCCTAATAGGATTATTCTATATTAAATTTGGTAATTTGTGTGAGTCAGAATCATTTTTACTTTTTTTTGTCATTTTATCAATTCAATATCAACCACCATTCAATATTTGTGTGGTTGAACCACGTACATAAACTCAATTTTCTTGATAATAGCATCATCTGCTCTTGTACCAATGTTAGAGTGGTGGAGGTAGTATCATTTTTGGTTTTATCATTGTTAACATCACGTGTTCTCAATTTCTTTAAATCATATTTTTTAAAAGTATTTACTATAATAAACTATGTAAAATGACACAATAATTGCAAAAAATACTTTACAATTCGATAATCAATCTCATATCTATCTATATACAAAAGAAGGTGGAATGCAGTTCAATTCTCCCGCTCAAAAATATCAAATCATGGGTAAAAGATCGGTCAAACCCATATTGATAGGGTATTATCGGTTCGGTTGCGAAGCTCTGGTAACCAAAGTTTATAAGAAGTGAATTACTAGTGAAGAAAGAGGGATGAAAAAGGTGACAATCCATTGCCCAATGTTCGTCTCTATTTCCCATGTCGTAGATCTACATCCCAATCTTCTCGACTGATATTTGACGGCTAATCGATTAAAAGCAGTGTGGTCTGCTCTTTCAGCGTTGTCGGTGTGGTTTGCATTTCTCGATTAAAAGCGGGGTGACCACATAGAGACTTATGGTGGAGGACAATAGGGCATTACTAGAGCCAAACTAGGGTTCTCTGTTGTCATTGGTAGATCATTGCTAACATCTGTGTGTGGTCTACCCTTTCAGCGTGACCCCAGGGATGGAGATAGCAATTCGCTATGGAAATTCCGCAGGGATAGCCAACAACGACACATTCATCATTTGACGCCGGCGACTGGTGATGTGCCATAGTTGCGGCCAGATCCAGGTATGGCTGCTTGCACATTCGATGGCGAGTAGACAGAGATTGTGTCCTAGCGTCGGCGAACTATATAGCTTGGCCGGCCACATCGGCCGGCCTTAAACTGCAGCTAGGGGTTAATCAAATGGTCATAAGTGGCCCTTTCCTTGACTCCCGAGTTTCGAGAAATGTTTCAGCAACACCAGGCAATCAACATGTTCCAATCAGATCCAAGTTCACCCATCAATGTTATTTGCATTTTTGAAATTAAAAATGAACGTTATATCTGTTATTCATCATGTGTGTGTGTGATCAATGAAGTCATAGACATTTGAAAGATGTGCCTTCTGCTCTGCTGCAATAAGCTTCATCTCTCTTAAATTGGAGAATTAGGTAGAAAGTGTAGGAGATCAAACTTTTTAAAGTTCTATGTGTTCGGATTATACTTGGATTGCTGTTATTATACTTGGACTTTTAGAACAGATATTCTCAATTGTTATAATGACATGTGTAATTCGTAATATGGCTCTTCTAAAGAGAGCTTCTTCACGACTTAATGAACTAAAAAAGTTAAAACATTGATTAATTGAGACACCTTATCATTGTTAGTCTGGAAGCAGGTATTTCTCAAACACAGAACGAATGATAATACAAGAAAGGCATCTAATTTTCACTGAGCTGTGTGATAAAAAAAATCACTGAGTTGTAACTTATAATCACTGAATAATTAATTTTGTAGTATTGCTTGAAGCAATGAACGATGTTGCTCTCATCTTTGTTACATTGTTGTTTGTTCTAAATCAAGGGAGTGGCTTAGTAGGAGGTGGCGGCCGGAGCTTTTGGTCTTGAGAAGATAACTTGAGTTAGGAATAGTTTATTAAAAGAGTAATTAAAAGAGTATTTTGAGCTAGTGCAAGGCTCATTGATTGTATTGGTACAATAGCTCCGTACTCAAGTTACCAGAATGTACAGTAGCTCTTTTAAATTACCTTCTCACTCAAGAAGGTAACTTGATTTATCAAAAGCTCCTAATCGGCACGTTTGTAAATGTACAGTAGCTCTCTAGTAAATGTACAGTGCACGTTCGTTTCGATCAAGCGATTCCATCAGTATTTCTCTTGCAGTTTTTCGAGCTAAAACAGGAGAAAACGATTAGAAATTCAAAAACTTCGAAAATATAAAAACAGAGCTTTTCATCGACCAATCTTCACTTGTCGGCTCTGATACCATTGTTGGTCACTGTTTTGATGAAATTTAACAAATATGGAAGAACAAGTATGACATAGAAACTCAGAGAAATTCCATTAGTGTGACATTTGAAGTATTCGAACAGATGAAATCTCTCCAAGTTTAATATCGAAAAGTGTAGTGCGGCTACTGTATATTTGCTCTCAAAAGTCAGGCGATGTACGGGACCCAAAATGTTGGGCCCCTATGCCTCCGTGTTAGAAAACCCTCAACCGCTGTGTCATCAACTCCAAATCTCTCCTTCTTCATGGAGCTCTATGACGACCTGGAACCCGTACTCCCCACTACCCTACTACTATTCCGTTTCGAATCGTCTTTTAGAGTCGTTGAAAGTATGTTCACACCCTAGACTACACTGTTGCAACATTTCAGTGCAAGATGGAGACAGGATTGGGATCCATGGAGGCAACCGTCCAAGTATGCCTGTTGGCAGACGCAGAAGCCTTGAAATTAACCTTCAACCTAGCTAAGAACATATCTTCCCAATATGTGTTAAAACCGCTCTTTATGGGAGAGTGTGACAGGTTCTGTTACGCGATATATGAAAAGTTTGACTCTCTCTACACTGCAGTACCCTTAAAAAAAATGGGTTAGGCAACTAATTCTAGCTGTGGGGGCGGTTCAGGACTCGGTAGGAAGACATGGCAATCTGGACGAGTGGAGAAACATCGTGATTTGTGACAATCAAATCAAATTGATGAATATAGCCCCACCAGACGTCCCATATAGTGAGTGGAAAGATGGGGATGACCTAGCGTTTATGTTCGAGCATTTCTTTGTCTTTGGGCAGGGTACCCACCCTGGTATGGAGCATATAGTATATATGCTCAAAAGAGACATCTACCCAAGGCTCATTACGCTGGGGAACCACCCATTCTTTCTTCCCAATGCCAACGCACGACTCTCCCATATGGCAAACCTTTACAATTTGATTTGGAAGAGCGATGAAACAAGTATGTCGTTATTCAACCAGTGAACTGTGTCCGAGAATTGGGTCCGCCGAGCAGCGAATGGGCCACTGGAGTCTCACTTGACAGTCACAGAATATCTGTACGAAAATACAGCCACTGACCTATTACGTTTCTATAGAAACGTGTGGGTTTATGAGGCACGTACAATGTTAAGCGAGACACTGGAAGCCATACTAGATGCTTTAAGCCCAGTCTTCATTTACCAGAGTTTTGACTTTGTTTTTTATTACGGCCCGAACGAGTGGGAGCTCCAGCCTTTGGACTTCGGCTGGAGCTGAGAAGCTGGAGCTGAGAAGTGATGGTTTTGCTAAGGGCAGACTAGAGTAAATGTTTTTGTTGGAACCATGAATAGACAATTGAAACTCCTTTCTTATGGAAATATTACCCTTAGTACAATCTCCAAGTGAGTGATGCTATTTGCTATTGACCTTAGTTTTTCCTTGGGGAGGAGTACTTACAGACTTTAGTACAATCTGTAATTGATTGATGCTATTTGTGGTTTTCTTTTGTAGTGGTGGATGTTATGTGAAGGTAGTTATTGAGTTGTCTAT